AAGGCCAGCTGCTTCCTGGGAGAAAAATGATCCTTTTTCCTTCCCTACAGAGTAAGTCTCCAAATCCCGCAGTTCTCCCGTGTCCGATAGAGTCACTATGGACAACACCATAGAATCAACTCGATGGCAGTGAGTTTGGTATTTTTGACATCTAATGTCATTAGGGGACACCTGTCAGGTCCATTTTAAATCTTAAAGAGGATTGAACTAATTGAATATATAATAAAAAAGTGTAAATATGACAATATAGAACCTTCAGTTTTCTCATAGACCTTGAGGGAAATAGTAGTTTTAAAATATTGATACGGTGTCCCGCATGTGAGAAATTTTTCTGATGATCTTTCATATGTTTAATGGAACCGTTATTAGAAAAACTACGATACGGGGAGTCGGGAGGAGGTGATACCAAGGGCTAAGCAGAAAGCAAATATTTTGAGAATGATGATGGCAACAAATGTGCTTGACACAATGGATGGATGTATGGATTATGATAAGACTTGTACGGGCCCCAATAAAATGATTAAATAATTTTTTTACCAAAAAAGAAAAACTAAGATACATTTTTTTTAATTAAAAGATCATTTTGTTGGGGGCTCTTAACAGCTCTTGTAGCAATCCATATATCGGTTGTATTTTAAAATATTTCTTTGGTGTTTTATTTAGTAGACAAAAAAAGTTTTAATCTGATTATGAAATAACTTTTATGTTTCAAGTATTTAATATATGGCTTTGTGTTGTAAGTAGTACTCGTGATCTATTTTGAGCCTTCAAGCCTGAACTTGTTTAGATTTCAAATGTGTATGGACTTGTCTTTCTATGAGGAAAAAAAATTATTTGCTCATGTTCGCTTCCTCATATCAGTTACCTGGTTTTAGAATTCAAAGGAACTTTTGAGCCCTGTGAAAACACTTGAACATGAATGAATTTTAGATCCACTTCAAAAATGCGTTCCCAAAATGTACTGAAAAAAAATTTTTTTCTAGGCATACACTGTGATGTTTCAGTGTTAAAATGCATACCCCCACCCACCCATCTCTGGACTGCATGGCATTTATTGCAACTTCCTTTTAGAGCAATGTGATGTTCTCAGAGAATATGCAATGTTACAGAAGGAATTCTTCTGAACACCTGCTTCTTGCCCTAGCTCATCGTGACCTTGGGCAAATCTCTCAGGGCTTCAGTTCAGTTTTCTTATCTGCATTGTGTAAGGGTCAGACTGCAGTGAGTGTTTTCATTAGAAACTAACAATTGTCAAAGCACCATTAAGCAGGGGGAAAACCCTTGAACCTGAGGAGCATGTTCGTATCTACTGTAGAGTGAACATAATAGAATCAATGAGTAAAATTTAAGGATCATTCACAACTTGTATTCAGCCTACTTTCTAAACTCTTTTATCTCTTTCCCTACCTTCCCCTCCTTCCCCACATACTTGTCACCCTGCAAAGTCTAGGGCTCTCATCACATCATACTACCCTTTGTATCCATGAAAAAAGAAGATGCTATACCAACTAATATTTCTAACATGTTTCATTATAAGTCATTAAATTAGAAATAAACTATTAGTAAAAATAACAATTAGAAATAAGCTATTAGTATTGCTTATTGCCAGAATGTTTTCAAACATATCACTTATTTGACCTAGTAACTTTGCCTGAACTTTGTACATCTGAACCATGTTGAATTCATAAGCATTTAGAAAATATGGATCCCTATTATCTGAGCATTCAATTTTGAACACGTGGAATAATAGAAGTAGCTATCAACCTAGTGTATTTTTCGAACTGTGAAAAAATACAAAGTGACAGGTTAGTTAGCTATTAAACTTTGAATCAGACAAGCGTCAGTTGGGAGGAGTATCTGTCTCCTCGTCAGCCCAAGGCAGAGGTCAGACATGCCTCCAACCTCTATCCTCCTTTTATCCTATTCTAAACTCTGCTTCTCTGCTGGGTTCAAAAATATGTGGCAACGGTCACACAGAGCTTAGACATGTTCAAAATTATGAAGGTTTTTTGGGAAAGTTAACAGATTACCACAAGTCAAGATCAGAAAATATTAAGAATATAGTCATTGGTCCACTGCAGCAATTCTCCTGAGCCAGCAGCCAAATCTCTTCTGGCCCTTAGCTTCGGTCACCTGGTCCCTTGGCTTCTGTCTCCTTTGCTGTCTCCTAGAGCTCTGTCATGACCTCCACTGCTTCCGCCACTTCAGACAGGGGTCTCACCCCAGCTCTGTTGGCAGACATTCTTTCTTCATTGTCCCAGGATTCTCTCTCTCATCTTCAGCGTATGCTCTTTTATACAGAGGAATGACAAAATTGACCAATCCCTTTATTAGTGTTTGCACACACCCTGTTTGCATGGCCCTATTCAGTCATTTGGTGAGAGAGAGACATGGGTTAAAGAGCCATATTGAAGCTATTTCACGTTACCACACCTGTGTAAAAGCAAACATTTGAAATTATTTCCTAGAATTCAGTATTCGACTTGTCAGCCCATGGGTTGCTTATATAAAGGACGTACTTAATGAATATTGAATTGTGCTGAATTCAGACTTTGCATAAGATAGACAATTCCATGTGGCACTGGCTGCTGTAGCAAGTCACATTACCAGTTCATGTTCTCTGGGTAACAGTGACGAACTAAACGTGTTCTAAGCATTTTGAAAATGAGCGTTCCCTCTGCTTTCAGTCTTAACTTTGGATGGTTGCTGACAGTTAATGTGTTACACATAATAATGAATAAGCAATTTGTTTTCAGGTAATTTCATTGTTAGGTTGTAGCAGGCTCCTGTGGTTGAGCATTTTGTTTCATTGCAGTGATGGATAACATGTTATAATTTCACTTTAGCAAAAACATTTCCAAAGCTAATCTTGTGCCCCTGTAAACTCAGTTATCTTTATGTAAGAGTTAAGACGAGTATGGAGAGGTAAATCCATAGCTAATCTAGAGCTGATCTTCAGGCCAGCCTCTTCCCAGCATACTGTTTACCGAAGCAGCCAACTGCACAATGATCTCAGTCCTCTTTAGCATCTGGCCTGAGTAGGTGATACTGGCCAGCATAGGACTCAAAAATCACAAGGTCTGCTGCAAAGTCAAACGCTTTGACCTCCCCATGTGCCCTAAACATCACACTGCACAATATTTTTCTTTGTAAGTAGTTTTATGTATTTGTTTTTGTGTTATCACGTCCTCAAGATTAGGAACAATATCTTATCACTTAGGTGTTCTCATTCCTTAGCAAATTCTACATGGTGGGTATTTACTGCTGAAAGTTGTTATAATACTAAATAACCCAAATATCCGTTCTTGTAAAGCCCTATTAGTATAGCATTCTCCTTCTCTTTCTTACCTATTCAGTTATTGAATAACATTATGTTCTGTGTTTGTGTGGTTTTTTTATTGAGGACACACAGGTTTCTCCTAATATTCATCCCCTTCTTCCTCTTCTCCCTCCCCCTCCACACTATCCATGCCTACCTCCTCGTAATCTTTCTCCAGGGCAGCCATATCCTCTCAGGCCTCAGAGAACTCACCCTCTTCCATGCCCTCGCCCACATACCAGTGCATGAACCCCCGCTTGGCATACATCAGGTCAAACTTGTGGTCCAGGCGCGCCCAGGCCTCGGCGATGGAGGTCATGTTGCTCAGCATGCACATGACACACTGCACCTTCGCCAGGTCACCCCGGACACCACAGTGGGTGGCTGGTAGTTGATGCCAACCTTGAAGCCCATTGGGCACCAGTCCACAAACTGGATAGTACGCTTGGTCTTGATGGTGGCGATGGCAGCATTGGCATCCTTGGGCACCATGGCTCCACGGTACAGCAGGCAGCAGGCCATGTACTTGCCGTGGTGGGGGTCGCACTTCATCATCTGGTTGGCAGGCTCAAAGCAGACGTTGGTGATCTTGGCCACGGACAGCTGTTCATGGTAGGCCTTCTCGGCAGAGATGACAGGCGCATAGGTGGCCAGGGGAAGTGGATGCGAGGGTAGGACACTAGGTTGGTCTGGAACTCGGTCAGGTCCACATTGAGGGCACCGTCGAAGCACAGGGAAGCCGTGATGGAGTACACGATTTGGCCTATGAGGCAGTTGAGGTGAGTGTAGGTCAGGCACTCAATATCCAGGTTGCGGTGACAGATGTCAATAGATGGTCTCATTGTCCACCATGAAGGTGCAGTCAGAGTGCTCCAGGGTGGCGTGGGTGGTCAGGATGGAGTTGTAGGACTCGACCACGGCCGTGGAGATGTGGGGAGCTGGGTAGATGGAGAAGTCCAGGTTGGACTTCTTGCTGTAGTCCACCGAGAGCCGCTCCATCTGCAGGGAGGTGAAGCCCGTACCTCCGCCAAAGCTGTGGAAGATGAGGAAGTCCTGGAGCCCTGTGCACTGGTCAGACAGCTTCCGAATCCGGTCCAGCACCAGGTCAATGAGCTCCTTTCCAGTGGTGTAGTGTCCCCGGGCATAGTTATTGGTGGCATCTTCCTTGCCTGTGATGAGCTGCTCTGGATGGAAGAGCTGGCGGTATGTGTCAGTCCGAACCTCATCGATCACCATGGGCTCCAGGTCCACAAACACCACCTGGGGCATGTGCTTCCCTGCCCCAGTTTCACTGAAGAAGGTTTTGAAGGAGTCATCCCCTCCCCCACTGGCCTTGTCACAGGACTTCTGCCCATCGGGTTGGATCCCATGCTCCAAGCAGTAGAGCTCCCAGCCGGCGTTGCCAATCTGCACACCAGCCTGGCCCACATGGACTGAGATGTGCTTGTACATATTGCCTGATGTCTGTCTGTCTGTCTGTCTGCTGCTCAAAGGAAGGCAGGGGGTGGGTATGTGGTTTGTGTGTTTTATCATGAATCACATCCACACTGTTTTGTTGTGACACTGTTATAAGTCCTTAGAGTTTTGATGCTTTTGTGCTCTAGTTACGGTATATTTGGTAACTTTTTAAAAACTGTATTAATTATAACTAACTTATGCTTTTAAACTCTTTTTAATCTAGTTACAGATGAAGCCATATCCTCTTATTCTGGAAGTGATATGCCCAGCAATGACGCTAGCGTGTGGGCCAAAGGCACTGAGGAAGGAACAGAGTTGTCACGAGGACTCGTGAGAAGTGGCCTGACTGGAACTGAAATAGACCCTGAAAGTGAAGAACTCATGCTGAACATTAGTTCTCGATTACAAGCCGCAGTTGAAAAACTTCTGGAAGCTATAAGTGAAACTAGTAGTCAGGTAAATCTCCTGATACTTCTGATACTCAGTAGTGGATTCAAAGTAGCTATACTTTTAAGAAGTGGAATGGCTGCATCTTTTTTCTCTATTGTTCCACAGAAATTTAGTTAGCCTCCCCTCTACTAATTAATTTCTCTGTGACTCAATACCGGTATCGTTTTTCTTTCTAGGTACTAAACCCTGATACACTACATCGATAGCTACTCCCACTTCTTCCATCTTCAGGTTTTCTAGACTCTTGCATGTTACCTTCTTGGTACCCAAAGAGATCTTCATTTCAGCATCATATGACATGTTACATTAAAATATATCATTTATTTTAAGCAATAGTGATAGAAGTAATATAAAAAACCAAATTCTCTAACATAACACCCATGTTATTTGACAACAAATAAAACTTGCTTTTTCTTCACATAATTTTTACATCCTTTCCGCAATATGACTAGATTACTTCACTTTCAAATCCTTTGATTGGAAATTAAGGCTGCTTCTACTTTGATAGGTGGTTTTGATAGAAACTTAAACACTTATCTAAACATATTTATAACCTAAATTTTGGTTTTCTCTTCCTATAAAATTTCACATCATGTATAATAGTTGTGTCTTAAGTCTTTGTATCCAGAAATTGAAAATCACATTAAATCCACTTCCATATTTAAAAATATTTAGTCTAAAACAACTGTAGATTCATAGCTGCCATGCTAAGCAAATAAATGTCTTGCTGCCATCAACTGCATGGTCAGTATTGTTAACATCGTTTTGGTATCTTTATTTAGAACACCCTAAATCCAGGTATTTCTCCATATAAAAAAACTGTGTGAGAAGCTGAAAGAGTGTCTTTGAGCTCTTATTTCTGACATCTGGCTTTCAATGATGTCACTTTTTTGTGTCAGCATTCAGTATATGATGCTTCTGTAATAGCAATTACTATTGGACTTAGCAATTTGGGGAAAAAAGTTATATTTTTGGTAGTTTGATGCAATATTTATTTACTTTACCTCCATTTATGATTATACGCTATAGCTATGATTGTAGGTCATGTGTTGGCTAGTGACACTTGAAAACTTATTTGTTAAATACCCACAGCTTGATTAACATTATGAGTCTTTTTTTTTTACTGTCTCTCTTTTTATTCTTTGATTTTGTGAATCAATGAAGGAAATATTATCACAACATCATGTAGTTCTAGTAAAATAATTGACACCCAAAGAAGTATCTTCAGATATGACACTTAAACCAAAGTTTTTCCTAGATTCATTCTTGTTTGTTTGGGGACAGTCTGCGTCTTCTTTCATAATATAGTTTGCAGTGTGTCTCCAAGAGCAATGGAGGGGGGGTCTAAATGCAGTCTCACACTGCAATGAGGACTCACTAGCCAGGCAGCTATATCCTTAGACTGTTATTATATTTCTGCATTGTAGCTAGATAGACTGGCCAAAAACAATTATTGCAGTTAAATGAGAATCAATTTTTTCCATAGATATATTCAGAAGTGTAATATTTAACAGACTCTGATGCACATTGAAGTTTGATAATTACTGATCTAGAAATTATTAGTATAATGTTCACATTTGTCAGGCTTAGTTTTGAAGTTCTACTAGTACTGATTATATAGAAGATTGCTGAAACTAGGTATAAAAATGAGATATTTCTTTGATGAGTCAAAATTTTAAGGGAAAAGAAATAGCTTTCTAAGACTTTTCAACTAAATTTCATTTTGGTTATTAATGTTCCATAGAGATCCTTATTAACTGACTGAAATTACTCTGAGATTAATTAGTATATTTAAGTTATTTAGAATTTCATTTTATCATTTTTGTGAATGATTGGTATTCCATTTCTACTTCATTGGTTCTTTATAATGGAATATTTTACTTTAAGCTTGATTTTTTGTTTGTTTTTATAAAGAACAGAACTGAGAGGTTTTGTGTGAATGGCTAACAATCTAATTGTGAAAGGGGGATAAGGGCAGAATCCTGAAAGCGGTTTGAGAAGTGACTTGCCCAGGCTTCTGGGCTAGTAGTTGGTAGAGTTAGAATTTGAATCCATGCAGTTTGGCCTTAATCCAGGCTCTTAACAACTTTTATTAAAAGAGTTAGCCATTTTTTCAGTTAATGGTCTTAGCTACAGAAAAAGTGATGCATTTTGGAATCTGAAGCTCATTGAAGTGGTAGAAATGAAAGACTGATACAGAAGAGAATGGGAGGAGAGCAAGTAAAAACTTGGACAACTACAAGCTAAATCTCTAGGGGAAACTGTGGCAAATTTGAGATTTGAGAACAAGAGTAGCTGTGCATCATAAATCCTCCGGACGACAGGTGGAAACAAGTGGAAGCTCAGGATGGAAGGACAGAAGTGCTCTCGCATGTCAAATCCCTGGAAGGTGTGAGGATTCCTAATATTGTTAGCAGGAAAAGAATATTACCAACTTTGTGTTCTACAGAGACTACTCACACACTTGTGTGATGGGTGGATGGGCAAGAGGGTGGTAAAGACGGGTGCTGAATGTAGCGAAGAGAAGATGACAGCCTCCTCGCTGAAGTCCTAAGTTGATGCAGGAGAAAAATGATTTGAAAGATATTTAGGAAGGTAAAGTCTACGGCCTTGATGGATTAGAGCTCAATATAAAGAAAATTAAAACCCTAGCTGGATCAAGTAACATCATGATAAATGGGACAAAGATTGAAGTTGTCAAGGATTTCATTTTACTTGGATCCACAATCAGTACCCTTGGAAGCAGCAATCAAGAAATCAGATGGAATCTATCGCTGAAGACAAAGCGCATGCATAAGAAAATGTGGTGAAGAAGGCTGATGGTGTCCGGCTATCAAAAGATATAGCGCCGGGGGTCTTAAAGGCTTGAAGACAAACAAGCAGCCATCTAGCTAAGAAGCAACAAAGTTCACATGGAAGCAGCACATCAGCCTATGTGATCACGAAGTGTTGATAGGATCAGGTATCAAAGAACCAGAACAAAAAATCATATCAATATGAATGAGGGAGAGTGGAGACCCAAAGCCCATCTGTAGACAATTGGACATCCCCTTACAGAAAGAAGGGTCACAAAGAAGAGACAAGCCAGTCAGGGTGCAGGGTAGCAACGATGAAACATACAACTTTCCTCTCGTCCCTAAATGCTTCCCTCCCGTCCCTAAATGCTTCCCTCCCCCCCCCCCCACGACAATCATGACCCCAATTCTACCTTACGAATCCGACTAGACCAGAGCATGTACCTGGGTACAGATAAGAGCTGGAAACTCAGTAGCAGCTAACAGCAACGGTGTGTCTTTTGCTATCATAAAATAAGGCTTGTGCTCAACATAATGGTAACTTTCTATTGGTTAGTAAATTTTCATTATATTGTAAAAATAGAGATGACTTTTAGGGCCTTAGAAAGGTTATCTCTTTAACATAGTTTTTATTTTGTAGTCTTTTCGTTACTCTACAGAGAAATTATCTTTGCAAGTCTTGGACCAACTAAAAATAGAAATCCATCTGTTCTGTGGGAATGGTTACACATCATTTAGTTTTCCAGATTCAAGGACCATTTGGAGCCCATGGAATTTATTTGCCAATGGGGTTCTTTTAAGTTCTGGAAGAAATCAATGAATTAAGAATGGTTTTCTTTTTTTCTCTTTTTTAAAGAATGATTTTCCATTGTAGGATTAGGTACAGTTTCCTAATACCTACTTTTGAGACTAATGGAACCTAAGCTCTATGTGTCTTCATTTCCTCAAAAAAATAACTCTTTCTGAGGATGTCGCAGCAATAAGTAGTAAGTTTCTGTCTTTGTGTCCCTTCACAAAATAAGTCAACAACCAATTTTAGAAGGGAGCAACAGAAGTGTTTTCCAGTGAGGAAAATGACTTATGGGGGAAAGTTAGATGTCATTTATTTTTAAATTAAGACTATTTTGTTTGGGAAATGCTGGAGGTTAATGAGCCCTGGTGGCTCTGTCAGGTAAGTGTTGAACGGCTGATGGAAAGGTCGGCAGATCAAATCACCCACGCTGCATGAGAAAAAATGAAGCTGTTTGCAATTGTACAGATTTTCAGTCTCGGGAACACTAAATAAGGCCAATGTGAGTTGGAATTGACTCGATGGCCATGTGTTTACTGTAAATTAATAATCTTGAAATGTGTATTCAGCTCTTCATTATCATAGACCTGTGAATAATGTGCTAGTCTGGGTAATTAAAACAGTGTTCCTCTAAAAATTACACTCAATTTATTTGAACTAGTTTTGATTGTCCCCCAAAAAATGTTTTATGTGCTAAGATGAAAATAAATTGATTTGACTTCAATTATTTTAATCCACAGTCACCGTCCTGAAAGTCAGTTGCTGTACTGCCCTGTCCACGAATGCACTGTTGACATGAGGACTGTTTCCCCCTGTCATAAATCGTTTTAATCTCTTGCTTGATTGAGTCCCTTTTCCCCTTCCTTCCTTTAAGGTTATCTTGACCGAAATGTTGCTACTTATAAAGAGGTAGTTCATAACTTACAGGGGCTTTGTTTTTGTGTCAAATAAAAGAAAGTAGACACCATGTTATCAAAATAAACTAATTTGTAGAGAGATCAGGGAACAAGGTATTTGATATGCTAAGAATGGGTGCTACCACTTAAAGTTGAACAGCCAGGATTTTTTATTTTAATCATTTTATTAGGGCTCATGAAAGTCTTATCACAATCCATACATACATCAATTGTGTAAAGCACATTTGTACATTCATTGTCCTGATCATTCTCAAAACATTTGCTCTCCACCTAAGCCCCTGGCATCAGCTCCTCATTTTTTCCCCTCCCTTCCCGTTTCCCCCTCCCTCATGAACCCTTGATTATTTATAAATTATTATTTTGTCATACTTGCCCTATCCAACGTCTCCCTTCACCCACTTTTCTGTTGTCCGGCCCCCAGGGAGGAGGTTATATGTAGATTCTTGTAATTGGTTCCCCCTTTCT